GCCTGTATGGCGTTAAGAACAACCAAAACAAGCTATAAATTATTGGCAAAGAGAATGGAAAACTTACTGCTTCCGCCCCGCAGAGCCGGCAGTGATGGAGGTAGAAGAGCAGGCGCCCGCCCAGTCGTCAACCAGCGAATTACATCCGAATCAACGAAGTTTGGGTATGTGCTAGACAACCTTGAATCTCGATATGCGCCGGAAGTGCGTGATATCATTGTCAACCCCCCGGCGACTGAACCATATGCCACCCTCAAGGCACACCACTCATTCGTCGGCTGGGCATCTCCCAGGAAACACGTATGGATGAAACAGCAGAGGCAGCTGATTGCATCATGGATGCAATTCAAACGCAAACCATAGCCTCAGCTAATCCCACGACAGTTCCACTTCGGAGACCATTCAAACATTAAGCAACATGGTACATGCTCTCCACATGAATCTGAACAACATGAGACGACACATGGTGGGAAAATTCAAGAACCAACCCAGTTGGAATTCACGCAGTTTTTTAACCCGTTCCAACCATAATATTACGGCAAATGGTCAAGGGCAAGGCCTATTCACACATCCTACCATGACGGATGACAACAGGAAATCAACCAGGAAACCACGAACAGCAACGACTGAGATCCACACAGTGCAACGACGCCTACTTGTATCAGACAGAGTCACACACCAAAAATTCCTAGTCAAAATCGGTGCTGACATCTGCGTGCATCCCAAGTGACTAATACCAGGGTCACGTCAGAAATCGACACCAACATAGCGACTTATGGTACCATTGTTCTGCCTCAATTTAGGCCTACGAAAATCTTTCCCATGGCGCTTCATCATAGCTGACGTCGCCAAACCAATCGTCGGTGCAGATTTCCCTGCACACTATCAATTGCTAGTAGACTTAAGCAATCACCGACTCCTGGATCGACTCACACACCTCACCACCTCTGGTCAACTAAAACCAACTGCAGCCAACCTTTCGTCACAGAAACGAAACCGAGCACTTCCACATACCACGAGATACTTTAGCATTTTCCCTCATTAACCCGAACTAGCGGCCAGATCACCTTTTCGGAACATTCAACAAAGCACTACATCAACACTACCCCAGGTCTACTGGTAGATGTAAACCAAGACGTTTAGCTCAGGACCGTTTCTCTGCAGCCAAGAGAGAATTTGAAAAGTTGGTACAGCTAGATATCGCACGTCCCTCCTCCAGCCCCTGGACATCACCACTACACTTGGTCCCAAAGAAAGACGATGAATGACGCCCATGCGGAGACTGATCTGACAGATAACCTGTACGCAACATTGATGACTTAAAAGATGCACTGGCAAATAAGACAATATTCTATACTATCGATCTAGTTAGAGCTTATAACCCAATTCCAGTTGCAGAAGAATACATTCCAAAAACGGCAATTACAACACCGCTCGGTTTGTTCGAGTTTCTGTACATGAATTTTGGTTTACGCAACGCCAGCCAAACATTCCAACGCTTTATTGACTAACTGTTACACGGTCTTGACGTCTGTTTTGCTTACATTAACGATATACTAGTCGCATCGGAAAATGCTGAACAGCATAAATAGTATTTACACACCTTATTAACTCGCCTGCATTCGTACTGCAAATTGCTTAATCAAACAAACTGCAATTTTGGTAAATGAGAAGTCTCTTTTCTAGGTTACTCGGTTTCGGCAAATAGAATACGCCCTTTACCCGACAGAGTAGCAACAATCATCAATTTCCCAAACACGTACCTCCACTCCTTCCTATTCTGAGCTAAACTTTGCATTTCCCAAAAACTAGAACAACCTACATCCTTAACAATTTGCAAACAGTAATCTAACCTAGGTCTACCTCTACCTCTCCTTACTCCTGTTTCTGCCTCTAATATGTCTCTGACTAGACCTTCATGCCTGAGAAGGTGTCCTATCCTCCTCTGTACAATTCTAATTAAGATTTTTGACGCATGCGAAGTTAAACTAATTATTCTAAATGTCTCACACCTATCCGCGCCTCTCTGTTTAGGTTATGTTACTACTACGTTCCGTTTGTAATCCTCTGGGACTTTCCTCGTCTCGTAAATGTGACTTACCAGCTTAAACATACGATGTCTAACCTCTTGTCCTGCATGTTTTAGAATCTCCCTCTTTGTCCCATCTACACCTGGCGCCTTATTATTCTTCAAGTTTTTTAATGCTACATCGAACTCTTCTCTCATTATGGGATAACCAAGCTTATCTATCTCCACATTATCTTCCTTCTCCAATATATCTCCTAACTAATGATTTCATTCTTGCTGAGAGACTAGGGTATGGAATGATCATCTTGCAAGAGTTTAGCGAATGCTTCCATATTTTCATGCATCTGGTCATTTCCTGTATGCTAAATCTGCACATTTATACTTGCAAGATATGATAGCTTTGAAAGATAAAATGGATAACCAAGACTATATAAACATTACAAAAACATTTGCAGTAAGACGCATACAAAAATTTAACTGTTAGATGAAGTCTATGAAAACTGAAGGAGGAATTTCTCGAGGAAGGAGTACTCATGAAAGTATCTTATTTAAGTGGATATATGGCATGTATGCAGCAAATGCAATTTGTGAAGAAACTAAAAATTTTGCGACCTTTTATTTGATACCGCGTATCAACATGTAGACTCAAGAGATTCATGCATTGAAAGAGATAAAACTGACATTAAAAAATTTATAGAGTGATTTGCTTTGCATAATGCTTTTTCAACTTGCAATCAAGTAGTTTCTGTATCAACAGGAATTGTTGGTAATAATAAAATCAACTGTTATAATGCCAAAGAACTTGGTCTGCAGTCAATTAAAGAAATTGTAGGAGTAGCATTCAACAAAATTACATTAAAACGCTCTGACAGAGTTCTTCCATTATCATCAGTAAACACTTCTATCATATTTACAATATGATGTAAGTCCATATCCAACAGCACTATCTGATAATGTTGGCATGAGAAAACTCAAAATTTGAAAATATACGACTACTCGAGCCAATTAATTATCAANTAAACCTTGATAAAGTAATAAATAATAAATTCATAAAATTTTGTGTTCCCTTCCCTTCGGAGTCCAAAACCTCTATTACTTAAAAAAAACCCTCTATAACTTATATGAATAATTTGGGCATCATACGTCAGTAAGCAGTGAAAAGTAGTTTGAATCGGAAGAAAGTCTTCTGTGTAAAAGACGAAGAATTGCTGAATTTTCTAATTTAGAAAAAAGCTTGTTTACATGGTTTAGACAGTGTATAAATAAAAGCATTAGTGTTAGTGGACCTATACTAAAGGAAAAAGCTGAAGAGTTTGCTAAGTGTCTGGAAATCCATAACATATCTCTGACAACCTAAACAAGCGCCGTCACACTTCCATGCATGTGATTGACATCCTGCAAGCCTTCGATCGAGTTTGGCACGAAGACCTCATCTCCAAACAATATCGTCCTAAAGATCCCACAATTTCTAAGCGGCGTTATCATATCCTTCGTCTCCGTGTTGGCGTTGGCTTTAAACTGTTGCCATTTTTGTTCAGCCGTTTCGAAGTAGACTTGCCGTCCTACTTCTCGATCTTCACAGCTCTTTACGCAGGGGACATGGCCCTCATAAACTAATTCCCCAGTGCTCCGCAAAAATTAACAAGTTTCTGCCCGTGCCCCTAAATTGGTGCCGACGATGGAAACTCTGCATTAACAGAGCTAAGTCAGAGTCAGTTTTCTTCTCCCGTAGGACCCGAAAATCACCCCCTATCATCGTCAATATAATGCGTCTCCAATCATTTTATCCTTCATTCTTAGATATCATTTCCTTGTTCCTTTTGAGTGTTTAAAATAGCTGAGAGAAGATGGAAAACAACTTATTGTTAAACATGGACAAGTAAAGGCTAACTTAACTGACTTCAGAAAACAATTAGTTAGCTTTAGTGACGACAAAATAGATTCATTATATTTTAAACAAAAATGAAAAAATTATATCCTTAATTATAAAAAATTGATGAATCAGTTACAAATGGAAATCGTAGATAGTGCGGAAATGGATGCCAATGATCGCTATGATTTGTTGCTTCTTTTTTTAAAACAAAATAATATTCAATCAACGCAATCATTAGGTTCGCCCAAATCTACACCGTCTACCAGGGATAAACAAATTGTACAAGATAACAATGCATCCTCATCAGAGGTTCTCTTATCAACTTATTACCGATCCGTGCGCGATAGTTTAGCTAGAAATTCATTGCAACTTGCGATAACCGGTATTTAATTCTCTATAAATGAAATTTAAGTCACCTGATAGAATATATATTTTACAACCTGGAAGGCAAATTGCATAAGCAGCCTTTACTGTTAGCGCAATATAAACAGTTTACATTCACTTAGGTCACATGTCAGTTGCAGCACTAGGCAACAACGAAATCCAGACGTCATATTACCTGCCACAGCATGCAGTCATCAAGGAAGGCAGTTTGACTTCCAAGCTCCGGGTCGCATTTGATGCGTAGGCGAAGACAACCTCAGAGAAATCGTTGAATGACGTTTTATTAATAGGCCAAGCATTCAACAGGATCTATGTTCTAATCCTGCTAGGTTCCGCATGCATAAATTTGTCCTTTCGGGCGACAACGCTAAAATGTGTCGGCAGGTATAGGTACCTCTAGATAACAGGTCCTTTCGAAAAATCCTATGGCGATTCACCCCAACAGATCCAGTCATCGAATACGAATTGGACTCGGTTACGTATGGAACCTCACCCGCTTTTTTTTAGCAACTAGATATCTGCATCATTTAGCCAGAGAGCATCAAGTAACACATCCTCAGAAATCGCTTGCCAAACTTCGCGATTTTTATGTCGACGACTTTCTTTCTGGCAGTGATAATGTTAACGAATTGGTTGCAGTGCGTAATGAAGTGATATATATATATATATATATATGTATATATGTATAAACATATCTTTATGACCTCCGTTTTTTATAAAATGCATTCGTTGCTACCTCATATATACCGCTGCTACCTCCGATTTCGGAGGTCGTAAGGTATCCAATAAAATAAAAAAGGATGGTACTATATCGGACAATAGCTCTCACCGTCTATGTTTTCTAGTGGAGGTCAGAACGATCGGCGCTTATCAAAACATATAAGCAATTAGTTCAGAGGTTTGCCGCGATAGGACCGGTCTTTCTACGTGGTTTTGTACACCGCATGTTAAGACCTCCACTATATTTTTACATTTATTGTACGTAAAAGCACCATTCTATTGCCTCCTATGTTTGGCAACAGTGTAATTAAGTACTTTTCTCAGTCTCGTTGCGTTTAGTTCGGTGTTCTCGTCGAACAGTGGATATTTTATTTAATACATGTGATAGGCGCTGAAATGTATAGAAGGTATTTTCCACAATCATACGTAAGTATCTCTTTATTTAATTTTATAGTTACCAAACTTAACCACAACCGTAACAAACCTTAACAAAGCTCGTCACACCGATACCCACTTAATCAAACCTTACTAAACCTAACTAAACCCAACCTAACCGAACCTTGTCCAACATAACCGACTCTAATCTCATCAAGCCTAACCAAATATTGAAACCTAACTAGACCAGACCAAACCGAACCTTGCCAATTCTAACCGAACCCAATCTAAATTTAACCTAACTTAGCATTACCTGGCTATATATTGAATGATGCAGTTATTGCCTTACAGATAGAGGCAGATGTAGGGGTAGATCCGTCGGATCCTTCGTCAAGTTCATACGATGATTTTAACGATAAGGACTTTCAAATTGACAGCGACGAATTAACTTCAAGCGAGAGTGAAAGCGATGATGAAAATGAAAAAGATATCGATCAAAACAACGAAAGAATATTAAGAACGAACAGTTGTGACCAAGTTAAACTTGAAATAGAACAAAAACCTCAAATCAATATTTTGCAAAACGTTCAAATCAGAGAGCCAGAAGAACCGCGAGGGATTTCTTCTAAAGCTGGTTATATGAGAGAAGCAAAACTTTTGAAAACCCGTTTAGTAAGATGTGTTTTTTGCGCAGAGGACAGTGTTTCTAAAAACTTTATGCGTCATTTGATGAGACGACACGCTGGCGAAAAAGAGGTGAAGGCAATTTTGTTGGAGCCTCTAAAGAGTAAAGCTAGGAAAAAGGCAGTAGAAGCATTAAGAAAAGAAACTCAGTTCGAACAATATCTTGATGGCGATGGTATTCCCGCACGCAGAAACTTTAACAAAAATATTGACACCGAAAACCAAAAATCTCTTTATTATCCATGCATACATTGCAAAGGTTTGTACAAAAAATCTTACTTAAGTAGACATTTAAAACTATGTACCTCTAAAACATGCAAATCGGGTGCATCGGGAGCCGTCTCAAAATCACAAACATTAACTGCATGTAGTCTGGATCCAACAAATGTTGTATCCCGTTTAGAAGTTAAGGAAAAGGTATTTGACATGATGAGGGGTGATGATATTGCGTTTGTTGCAAAAAAAGATTTGTTAATAACATACTTCGGAAATTCGTATTTGAAAAAACACCGAAAGGAAAAAAGCAGCTATACGTGCAGCAATAAGATGAGGGAGTTCGGGAGGTTATTAATAGAATGCCGCAAACTTATGAATGATCCAAAAATCGATATGCAGCACTTACTCCGTCCCGTCCATTTTGACACTATTGTAACAGCAGCAAGAAAATTATCAGGCTACGATCCCCTAAAAAAGGGCTTCGCTGCTCCTAGCTTAGCAATGCACTTTGGAGGCAACTTGAAGTTGCTTTGTGATGAACTGTATTATTTAATTATGAAAGATACTACAGGATTCAGATCGAAGACGAACAGTGACAAAGCAGTCACTTTGAAGGCAGTTAAGAATATGAAGCAGCTAATAGTTTCCAGATGGAATACTGAAATGGCTTCTTTGGCAAATAAGGATTTACACGAAAAATGTTGGAACAAGCCTTTGTTGATTCCCTTGGTGTCGGATATCAAGCTTTTTAGGGAAAAAGCTTTCGAAATAGCTAGAAACGCTGTTGCAGCCTTCATAAAGGAAATAGATACAGAAAGTGACTATAAAACGCTTGTCGAATGCGTTCTATCATTACTCATAATTTTCAATAGAAGAAGAATAGGTGATGTGCAGTATATGAAAATATCAGATTACAACAATGAGAAAAAAAGCAAATTCAATGATTTTGAAGACGCACTTTCAGCAACAGAGAAAATTTTGGCAACACGGTACCGAAGGGTCCTTAACAGCGGTAAAGGATCTCGGGCAGTCGTAGTTCTGATACCTCAAGACCTCGATGAATTCATACAAGTGCTTTTAAGACACAGACATAAGTATATTTGTGAAGATAACGACTATCTCTTTTCAATACCAGGACATAAAGTCATATGGGGCAAGGGAGACCTAGCAATTCGAAACCTAACTAGAAAAATTCCATTAGAGAACCCTGTAGCTATAACAAGTAATCGTTTGAGAAAACAAATTGCCACCGTCATGCAGATATTAAGCCTGTCCAAAGATGATATTAAACAGTTTTCCAACTTCATGGGTCACACAGTTAAAACCCATGAAGAATTTTATGAGTAAGGCTTTTGCATTTTTATCGCTTCATCTACTTTATTCTCACTTTTAAGGCTTCCAGTTGATGTCTATCAGACAGCAAAGGTGTCAAAGCTTTTGTTGATGATTGAAAATGGAGTGCCAATAGAACATAGAGGAAAATCCTTATCAGAGATTGAGATCGATTGTAAATATGCCGAAGAAAACGATATGAAATCTTTAGCAAATCACCACGACGATGGACTTGTAACTGAGGAAATTGAGGAGAATAACGAAAAAGAAGATAGCGACCAAGAAACGGAAGATGGAAAGGAGGTACCAGAAATGAATGAAAAGAAGAGGAAACGAATGAAATTTATCCGGGGAAAGGAACAGCCGAAATACAGAGAAAANTGTTGTTTGTAATGCATCCTAAGCGACCTTGATCGAATTATAAGTATAATTGGCGGCTATCTGTTGTGTATGTATGTACGTGTATGTGTATGCATGTGTACAATGAGAGTAATTATAATGAAAGAGGCTTTTGTTTTTCGTTTTCCTCATCGCGAATGAATGTAATTAATAATATTTGTTGACCTTGAATGTTACATATTAAATATTAAGCATGTGTCGGTGAAAAGCAGTATTTACACACTAACATACATACACACTATGCTTTATTATTGAGCTATTCATATGTGTAAGCGCCTAGATAAGTATTCGTTTCAAATAGTGGAATAAATAAAAAAAAAGGCGAATAAATCATTTGCTTTTATTAAATAGAGTTATTATAATATCCATAAAACGATATGATTTTTCTACAACTAGCTATGAAGAAAGTCGATATTTATTCATAGTGTACAAATTATATGCAATAAGGAATACAATTTTAACAGAAAGAATTTCAATAATAAGGTATTGGAGTTCATCAACAAAAATGAACCCGTTCTGTTTATTTAATAGACCAAACTTATATCCAATTTAAAATGATGCATAGATGTTTAGTCTAAGCTCTTGAAATTCGAACGTGACAAAATCTCAAGTGTTACATAAACTAACGAAGGTAATGCTAGAAAAATTGACTGAAGAATGTATTAGTTAGTTAAAACTGTGAGACCGTTCGATTAAGTTGTTTTTAAAAAAATAAAATTACTACAACTCTATCAAGTTGTTTTATTTATCACCTGAAAATAAGAACTCTGCCAATAGGTTATGGGCCCAGGTGATAAACGTGAGTGCGTTTAGTAGTTTATAAAAATTTCGAACTATTAAAAGGTTAATAAGAAATAGTTTAATTATTTGGTGATTGTGAAATGGAAGTGAATCAAAAGCGCAATATAAAACCATTTAATGGTGAAAAGTGTGCTGTGTGGAAATTTCGTGTGATGACCTTACTTAGTGAATTAGGTGAAATAAAAGTAGTGGAAGAAGAAATTCCAAGCGAACCAAGTGCTGAATGGCTGAAATGAAATTTAACTGCGCGAAGTCACCTGATAGAATATCTAAGCGATTCTTTTCTAAACTTCGCAAAAGATAAAATTTATGCGAAACAAATTATTGAAAGTTTAGACGAAATATATGAAAGAAAGAGTCTCGCAACTCAGTTGGCCTGCCGAAAAAGATTATTAACGTTAAAACTAGAAAGTGACACATTACTATCAACACATTTTGCTAAATTCGACGAAATACTAACCGAATTAATAGCTGCTGGTGCAAAACTAGATGAAATGGATAAAGTGTCTCATCTTCTAACAACTCTCCTGAATAGTTATGATGGTGTTATCATAGCGCTTGAAACTTTGAGTGACAACAAACTGACCCTTGCTTTCGTTAAAACTCGCCTTTTTGACCACGAGGTAAAATTCAAAACGGTAAGCAGTACACAGACGGGGTTGAAAGCTTTTAACTACATCATTTCCATCCGAAAATAAATCTTTTTATAGAAGTCGAAATAGATTACACAAACGAATTCATACATACAGGAAATCAAATAAATTTAGTCCAGAAACCCGAAGCCAAAATTTCAAACCATCAAAATTAAATAAAACAATAAACAAACAATGTAAACATTGTGGCAGAAATAATCATTTTAAGAGAGATTGTTTCTATTTCAAAAGAATGATGGAAAACAAACACAACAGAACAAGGACCTTACAAACAATAAAAACCAAACATCCAACAAATGCACAGAAAGAAACTCACAGTGACGGTTTTGTGTTTATGTTAAGTGTAAAAAATAATCAATATAACCACTATAATATAAATAAAAGTGAACTAAGTTTTATCCTGGATTCTGGTGCTACAGAACACATCGTAAATAATCACGAAATATTCACTGCACATGAAAACCTAAACCCACCACTGCAAATTTCGGTTGCGAAAACTGGAACATCAATTCAGGCTACCAAAAGGGGAGTAATTGAAGTTACTACTAACCTGGGGCTCAATGGACGGCTAGAAGGTGTCCTCTACTCCGAGGAAGTACCGTACAACCTGTTATCAGTCCGTCGTCTTCAGGAAAGTGGAATGACTATCATTTTTAACCAGGACGGGGTAACAATAAAAAATGGTAACAAAACCATTATAACAGGTAAGCCTATTTATGGCCTAATAAAAGTAAAATTTCNTTTTCAATTAAAATTTTTTTGGAGCATTACCTCTAGGTGCCACACCCACCCAAAAAAAATGCTTTTTGTAAAAATGGACAGGGTGACACATTGTCAAATGATTAGAAAAGAATCTTTCAATTAAAACATTTTTTTTGAAACATCCCCTTTAGGTACCCCATCCACCCAAACACAATTTTTTTTGTAAAAATGACCCCGAGTGACACTTCGTCAAATAGTCAAATAAAAACCTTTCGATTAAAAAAAAAATTTGGTACATCCCCTACAGGTTCCCCACATATCAAAAAAAGGTTTTTTTGTTATAATGACCCGGGAGAAGTTTTTCGTAAATTGGTCAGATAATAACTTTTCAATCAAAATTTTTTTGGAGCATTACCTTCAGGTGCCACACCCACCCAAAAAATTGCTTTTTTGTAAAAATGGACAGTGACATACATTGTCAAATGATTAGAAAAGAATCTTTCGATTAAAACAATTTTTTTGAAACATCCCCTTTAAGTACCCCACCAATCCAAACAAAATTTTTTTTGTAAAAATGGCCCCGAGTGACACTTCGTCAAATAGTCAAATAAAAACCTTTCGATTAAAAAAAATTTTGGTACATCCCCTTCAGGTTCCCCAACATCAAAGAAAAAGTTTTTTTGTTATAATGACCCTGGAGAAGTTTTTCGTCAATTGGTCAGATAATAATTTTTCAATTAAAATTTTTTTGGAGCATTACCTTCAGGTGCCACACCTACCCAAAAAAATGCTTTTTTGTAAAAATGGGCAGAGTGACATACATTGTCAAAAGATTAGAAGAGAATCATTCAATTAAAACAATTTTTTTGGAACATCCCCTTTAGGTACCCCATCCACCCAAACACAATTTTTTTTTGTAAAAATGGCCCCGAGTGACACTTCGTCAAATAGTCAAATAAAAACCTTTCGATTAAAAAAAATTTTGGTACATCCCCTTCAGGTTC